TTTGGGGCCTCTTTTGCCCATCATAATGTTTTTAATTATCCATATAATTACATTTATTATTAATTCATTCCATTTTAAAAATTAACACAGCTTTATTGAGGTATAAATGACAGTCAATAAACTGTACAGATTTATGGTGTATTATTTGCTAATGTGCAGAAAAGATTTAATATAGCAGGCCTGAGACTGCTATTCTTAGAAATGTTAACTTTCTTTTTCCTTTTTTAAATGATATTGATACTTGAACCCAGTGGCACTCTGCTGCTGAGCCACATCCCCAACTCTTTTTATTTTTTTATTTTGAGACAGGATTTTGCTAAGTTGCCCAAACTGGTCTTAAATTTGTGATCCACATGCTTTAGCCTCCCAAGTAGCTAGAATTTCATGGCAAACATCAACTTTCAGGGCTGGACTTTGGGAGAGTGTCCACCATTCCCTGATAAGAAAAGGTCACTGTGCCTAAACTGTGCGAACAACACGGCTTCTAACAAACATTTGCTTTCCTTCTGGAAGTCTGGAATTTTTGTAAAATAACTCAGTCCCTAATGAGGTCCCATGGCAGATAAGATTTCACATGTGTTGATTTCACAACTCATCGATGCGGGGAATTAAGACTGTCCTGAGTGACTCCACAGAGAAAGAATTCCTAGAATCTTGTGCCTTCTTTGCTCTGGGACTTTGTTTCATGTGCTTTTTTCCTTTTGATGATTCTGCTATGTTTCCTTCCACCTTAATAAATCATACCCATAAGTACAGCCACATGCTGAGTGTTGTGAGTCTTCCTAGGGAATCACTGAATGTGGGGGTTATCTTCAGGGCCCCTAGCAGAGATAAGATGTGAAAAAAAAATTTATACACACACACACACACACACACACACACACACACACACATTTACTGTTTCTATTCTAGCTCTTGTCTTCTTTGGTGTCCAACCTGTTATTAATACTGTCCAACTAAATTTTAATTTTATATACGCTACTTTTCACATCATTCTCTTTGGTTCTATTATATCTTCCATTTCTCTCTTAAATGCTTGTATTATCTTGAATTCTTAAGTACTTCTGCCTTTTTCTTTTTTCCTGTACTGGGGATTGAACTGAGGGGTGCTTTATGCTGAGCTACATCTCCAGCCCATTTATCTATCTATCTATCTATCTATCTATTTATTTAGCAATACTGAGGATCAAACCTAGGGCTTCACAGCTCTACCACTGCGTTATATCCCCAGCTCTTATTTTTTCAGAGCTTGCTAAGTTGCTGGGCCTGGCCTTGAATTTAAACCTCTTGCCTCAGCCTCCCTAGTCACTGGGATTACAGGCACATGCCACTCACTGCCTTTGACATTTGGGCTAAAAGTTATTTTAATGTCTTTGTCTGCTAATTCCATCATTCCTGTCACTTCTGGGACTGTGCCTTCGATTTTTCTCTTTGTTAACAATCACTTTTTTTTTTTCTTGTTTGGTAAATTTTGATAGGATGTCCGATGGTATTTTACTTTATTCAATAGTTTATTTTGTAATATTTCTTTAAAGGGCAATATTTTTTTTAATGGCACACAATTAGTTACTTATGGGTGAATTTTCTTGTTTTTAAGTTCCTCTATAACAAGTTTAAAATGGTCTTTACTCTAGCAATAATGTAGTGCCATTTTCAAGTCATGGCTCTTCTGGGTTTCTTTCAAATGCTCTGTGGATTCAATAAAGTCTTTCTGCCCTGGCTAAAGCGGGTGGGAGGTGGCTAATTATCCCAGCTCTGTGTTAGCTCTGGTTAGCTTTTCCAGATATTATCAAAGAATTCCCAGATACCTATGCTATGCTTATAGATATTCTTATCTGAACTTAGGTGGTTTTATTTTACACATGTGCAGAGTAATATTCAGCTAAAGATTCAGAGTCTCTAAGCAATTTGGAATTTTTTCTCTGCTTCTTCCTCTTGGGTAATGTGGCTTTTACATTCTAACTGCCTCAGCCTCCACCAATTCCAATCATTTTGTCCTCAATCAAGGATCACTGGTTCTCTTTCTCTGCACCATTATCCAGAAATTGCTTCCCACTGGAGGGATTATCTAATACATTTCCCCCCTTTCAGGGTTGCCAGTCCTCCTGCACTGTTCTAATATTTGAAAAATACAAGAAATAGAAAAGTACATATAAGATGTTATCATTTGAAGAAAGCAAGACACACAAATGTGTGTGTGTGTGTGTGTGTGTGTGTGTGTATTACAACATACAGCCAGGCGTGCATGCCTGTAATCCCAGCAGCTCAGGAGGCTGAAGCAGGAAGATCACAAGTTCAAAACCAGCCTCAACAATTTAGTGAGGCCCTGAGCCACTTAGTAATATCCTGTCTCAAAATAAAAAGTTCTGGGGATGTGGCTCAGTGGTTAAGTGCCCCTGGATTCTGGGTTCAATCCTGGGTATCAAAACAAAAAAACAGTGGAAATATGTTACTTTGAAAAATTATTACTTGGATTTCTGATTCAGAAAGAGAGAGAGAGAGAGAGAGAGAGAGAGAGAGAGAGAGAGAAAGAGGATCTGGAATTAATTGTCCAGTTAAATAACTAGAAAACTGGGGGAAAAATTGGTAAATAGATAATTAACATTCCTTTTTATATCTGAATAGTACTCCACTTGGGAGGTATATCACTGTTTATTAAACCAGTCACTGAATAATGAACACTTGCATGACTTTTAATCTTTTGCTATCACTAATAGTACTGAAATGAATAGTCTTGTAAAAATGTTTTCATAAATTTTCCAGTGTATCTTTGAGATAAATTTTTAGAAGTGGGATTGCTGGATCAAGGGTTAATTAGTATGTAATTTTTCTAGATATTATCAAATGTCCTCTGTAGGTGTTTAATTTTTAGTTAACCAGAAATGAAAGAATGCCTATTTTCTCACCTCCAGCCTCACAAATGAAGTGTGTTGTCAAATGTTAGGATTTTTGCCAACACAGTAAAAAGTGGCATAATAGTATAATTTTAATTTGCACTCATTGTTATGATGTCGAGTTTCTTTGTAGATGGGTAAGAACCACCTGTACTTCCACGTTTATGAATTGCCTACAGCTTTCTTTCCTTTTTTTAAAAAATATATATATTTTTTAGTTGTGGTTGGACACAATGCCTTTATTCTATCTATTTCTGTGCGGTACTGAAAGCTAGAGCCTGGCACGTGCTAGAGGAGCGCTCTACTGCTGAGCCACAACCCCAGTGGCGCATGCCCCGCCCCCCTAGATTTCTATAGCTTTTTTTTCTTTAGGATTTTTGGTCCTGTTTTAAAATTTTATTTTTAGAAACTCAGCTGTGATAAGCAGTTGCAGATGACATCCTATTTGTCTAGTTTACATATGTCATATAAAGACTTTTCATTTTTATGTTATCAAGTTTCTCAATTTTTTCCCTTTTAGATTTTGAGTCCCAATCCTGAAAGTTTTCCTTATTCCTAAATTGAAAGAAAAAATGCACATACACTTTTGAAGTACTCCTATAGTTCACTTTTTACAGTTAATATCTTAGGCGTGTGGAACTTTCCCTGATGTGTGGTGTGGGGAATGAAACTGATTTTACCTTTGTATTGCCATTGGGTGACCTGTTTCTTCTGGATTCCTTATCTATAAAGATGGCAGACTTGAGATTTGGAAATAAAATAGCATAGCAAAAAGCTCTTCTTATTTTTCAGGTAAAATCTAGAAAATAAACTTACCATCAGTGACAGTAATAGTAAGGAACTTCAGCGACAGTGTTCTAGGGCCTGTAATTTGCTTCTTCAGACCTCATCGATCAATAGAATGCTACTGCCCTGCTGTGGTCTGAATGTCTTCCTCCAAATTCACGTTGAAACTTAGTCATCAATGCAACAGCATTAAGTGCGGTCCTTGGGAGTTTGAAATGTGATTCATGTTTTTCTCCAGTCTTTTCCCAGGACTCATTAATCTCGGCTTGGGAAGTGCAAACCCAGTTACTGTACTTTATTTCTTGCAACTTGGACTAGCTTTCCTACCATTGACGTATTAGCATTCCAGAGGAGTTCTCTGGGAATTTACACATCTGTTTTGCTCCCCATACAAATGGGTACTTTTTTTGGTTGCTCTTAAACGATCCAGGCATTTCTTTCATGTGGTTCAATTTTAAAAACAGAATAAGTCACTCCATTTTCATCTTTTATCTTGTGCATAATAATTTGCTGCCCATCTTCTATCTGCAGAGCATCTGTGGGGGAAATTTTAAGATCCCAAATGGGAATGCCAAATCGTTCGGCAGGTGGAGCTAATCAATTACTCATTAACAGGACCAGTTATTGGAAATTTTAAAATGAGAAGTACCAAAGGTCGACAGGATAAATTTAGCCTGCCATTTCTAAATTTAGCTCCATTGTCACTAATAAACTCTCCTTCAGTTTAGGTCCCAGCTTCAGGGCGCTAGTTGACACCTTCCTGCCTCGCGCCACGCGGGCCTCCTCTGTGCTACCAGGGCTGCAAGAGGTCCACGCTGCGAAGCAAAACCGGGAAGCCCTGAGGAGGGCGCCGTGGCCACGAGGAACGCTGGATAAGTCTCTGGGGCTGATTCTGGGACCCCCCCTCCAGTAGGACTAGAGAGACTTTTTTACGCCATCCTGTTGTCGCGTACTGCAGCTCTTAGGTGGGGGCTCTTGGCCGCGCGCCGCACTCGGTGGGTTCCGTCCCGGCTCGAGCTTCCTAGCAGCGCCCTCCCCGGGGGCGGGCCTTGACTCCTCTTGCGGGGGACGAGTGGGCGGCCAGACTTGGGTGGCAGAGGGGGAGAGCGACCGCTAGAAGCTGCCGAGTCCCTGGAACTCAGCGGCTGCGGAGGTCTTCAGAGAAACGAGGCCAGGCGAGGGGGAGGAACTAGAGCCTATGAAAGGGAGCTGCCTCCGAGGAAGGAGGCGGGAACTTTCGGCTGCAGCTGCAGCTGTTCCGGGACGCAGCCCGGGAAGCCCGCCCGCTGTCCTGAAGGTGCTCGCCAGGTAGCTCCGCACCCAGAGGGCGCCCTCCTCGGCCCCTCCCAGTGGCCGAGACGGAAGGAACCGGTGGCTCTCCGGTTGCGAGGGCGCAAGGCACCCCGAGCGCGGCGCCCTTGAGCCGCACCGCGGCGCAGGTTTGCCAGCCGACTTGTCCGCCTGCCAAGAAAAGGAAGCGCTGTCCCTTCCCGCTCACCCGGGCTTCCCCACCCCGTGTACTCTCAACCCTGCAGCGGGCGAGCGGCGTGGCCACGGAGGCGCCGAGGAGGGGCGAGCCGCCGCCGGGCAGCGGCGTGCCCGCGGGCGACAGGGCGCAAGAGAGGAGGCGGCGGCGCGGCGGTGAAGGCGCAGCGCGCGATGGCAGCTGCTTAGCCCGGCGGGCGCGGAGCAGCCCTGAGCTGTGGCTGGCCAGAAGGTGCGGCTGGGCCGGGGACACCGCCGCCGCTGCAGCCCGGCCGTCAGAGATGAGCACGGAGGCGGGTGAAGGCATCACTTTCTCCGTGCCACCCTTCACCTCCTCGGGCTTCTGCACTTTCCCCGAGGGTGGCAGCTGCCGGAGGGGAGGAGTGGCGACGGTGGCCGAAGGCGAGCCCAGCCAGCTACCGCCGCCGCCACCGGGCAGCTTCTGGAACGTGGAGAGCACCGCCGCCCCTGGCACCGGGTGTGCTGCTGCCACCCCTGGGAGCAGCGCCACCCGGTGCCGGGGCAACTCCAGTAGCGGGGGCGGCCGACGGACCACGGTGGCATATGTGATCAACGAAGCGAGCCAGGGGCAGCTGGTGGTGGCCGAGAGTGAGGCCCTGCAGAGCCTGCGGGAGGCGTGTGAGGCGGTGGGCGCCACCCTGGAGACCCTGCATTTCGGTAAACTGGACTTCGGGGAGACCACGGTACTGGACCGTTTTTACAATGCAGGTGAGTGTGAAACCCCTTCACCGTACTCCGCGGTCGGGCCCACATATTTTTTTGGGGGGAGGGGGCGTTTTCTGGGGAAACATTTTGTTTGTTTTTCTTGGCGGAAGCATGCTGCCTACTTACTTCTCGCCCCACCTAGGGGGACGCGAGTGGCGCTGCGTGACTACTCCTGGCGCTGGCCGATCCTTTGGGAGGGAGTGTGTGCTTGTGCAAGAGCCAGTGTTTCGTGCATGAGACCCACTGACCTTACCCACCACCCGGCGCTGGAGCCCTGGGGTCCATGTGGTCGATCTGAAGAACTGTTTTTCAGCAGTGCAGGATATTTCCAATCAGTCCTCCATTCAGTATGTCTGTTTCACTTTGTTAGGTTTGTCCCCAGTTTCCCTTTTACTTAGACCTATAACCCTTTTGTGTGTGTAGTTTTGGGAGTACAGAAACGAGGACTTTATGCCTCACAGCCAGCTGCGCGCAGTGTACTGTAAGTTGCGTGTCTTGTCCTGATCTTTCCAACTCATTTTATCTTCAATAAGTTTTAGTGCCTTGAATTTCCTTTCTTTTACCAATTTGAACTTTCAAGTAATTACTTCCCAAAGTCATAAGATCATGACTTCAGCAAATGCCTATGAAATCTTTCTTGGGATCTTGGTGAAAGAACCAGTTTTTTTTTTTTTTTTTTTTTTTTTTACCTAGCCTATGCATCGTGGTGGGCTGGAAAATTTATAATTTAACATTGTTTAAAACGCTGATATGTTATCTTAATGACTCAGATTAGCTTGGTCATTAAAGTGATTGCAAACGTAGTCCATGCAAAACTTTGTATTTTTTTTTCAGGCTATCACGGATTTCAGAAAGTGTCAGGCAGTTCTAGTGGCTGTTAGCAAATGTTAGGAATGATAACATGTTTTTGAAATTAACTATTAGCACTCTGTCCATCCAATGTTGAGAGTGCAGCCTTAGTTATTTTTATAATTGTGGGTGGAAAAGCTGGCTTAATGGTTTCAAAACAATAAGCTTCTTGTACTTGTGATCACATTCAAGGTTTTATATTCCAATCTTGTTTTCAGTTCTGATTCTCTACAGCCTCTTCAAAACACCTAAAGTAGGCTTATGTCAGTTTTGGAATTCAGCCAGAGCTGAATATTTTAAGAACAAGAAGAACTTCATGTTAAGGAAGCCAGACTAAATAAACTAGGACTTTCTGGTTCTGGTATTTTTTCGTCCCTGTCTTCATAGTTGAACACGAGTATAATATATTATAGCTTGGTCCTTTGGGCGGATTGCTATAAAAATTACATAAATGTAACTTTTCTAAAAATTATAGCACTCTTATTTTTGGTTTATAATTTGGAAGAAGTTTCAAAGAACTGAAAGATATGAGCGGAAAGTAGCCAGCTAAGTAAATACTTGAGTCTCCTTTTACTGCACTGTAGATTGGGCATTTTTTTTCTAGGGCTATAGAAAAAAAAAGTCTTTAAGCTAATTTGTAAGAAACTTTCCTAACAATGCACTCTTTCTGTTGTTTTCCAAATATTATCTCTTGGAAAAGGAGGGAGAAAGGTTAGAAGGGAGCTGACATTAGAACTGTATCTCATTTAATACTTCAAACAAGCCTGGGAAGAAAATTCTTATCCCCCTCTCCCCATACTGGGTAAGAATTGAACCTAGGAGTAGTTTACATTCCTAGCCTTTTTTTTTTTTAAAGTTTCATTTTGAAATGGGTTCTTGCTTAAGTTGCTCAGGATGGCCTTGAATTTGGGATCCTTGAGTAGCTGGTTTACAGGCATTTGCCACCCTGCTCCAGAGGAAGTCCTTACCTTTCTAAGTGAGAAAACTAAGCCATGCATGACTGGACCTAAGATTCATAGGCAGTAACTGGTCAATGCAGGATTCCGCTCCTGGGGCTGAAAGGTCATGCATAGCCCTGGCTGCCTCCACTCAGGTGTGCTGACTTGCTCGAATCCAGGAAAACTCTCCTTCAAATAGCTGACCAGGATCCTAAGTGCCATTTAGGTGCCCTGAAGAATAGTGGGAAGGGGATGCTTTGGGGACACTCTTGTTCCTGTCTTGCTGTGCCCCACCCCTCTGCTCCTTTCAATCCAGGCAGACTTCAGTTTAACCCCTGCCTATCTGGATGACATGACCTCTAACCTCCTCCATAGTATGAAGATGTGACAGAATGAGGATGGTATCATTTTCATCCAGACCTTTTGTTCTAAAGTGATAGTCTCAGAGTCTGATGGTAGTATAACTCTCTCTCTTCCCCTTTTTGTGGTACTGAAGATTGAACCCAGGGATGCTCTACCTCTAAACTATCCTCACCCTTTTTGTTACTTTGAGACAGGATTTCACTGAGTTGCCCAGGCTTGCCTTAAGCTTGAGGTACTCCTGTCTCAGCCTTTTGAGTTGCTGGGATCACAGGTGTGTGTCACTGTGCCCGGCTATTACCTGTTTTCTTCTAATGTCTAAGAAAGGGCTTGCCCTTCTGCTGCCAAGGGGCTGGCCAACTTTTTTCTTGTCCAGGGCCAGATAGTAAATATTTTGTAGTCCTTGGAAGTTTCTCATAACTACTTAACTTTGCCTTGGGAGCAGACATAAACAGTACCCCTAAACAAATGATCGTGGCTATGTTCCAATAAAACTTTACTAATGGACTTTGAAATTTGCATTTCAGATAATTAACAAAATATTACTCCTTTGCTTTTTCCTCCTAATCATTTAAAAATGTAAAAACTATTTTTATCTTGCAAGTTGTACAGAAACAGGCCATTGTAGGCTCCTGGCCATGCTGACCTTTTCTCTACACCTACTACCTGAATGATTATGGTACAGGGAGAGAATGATTATGGTACACTGCCCCTCCAGGGAGAGTTGAGTTTTTATTCCAGCTCTCTTGTGAACCAGGGAATTGAAATCATGAGAAAAGCTTCTTATCTCCTTAAGGCAATTCCTTTCCTATAAGATTAGCCAGAGGGTGGAAGTAGAGGGAGAATTGAAGTCAGTTTCTAAGATTCCCTTATTTAATCCTGTGCATGTGCAGAGCAAGGCAGCATAGTGCCCTTGGGGCAGAGCTCTGGAACAGGAGTTTCAAGGTCTGTATTCTGGTTCTGATACTTCTCGAATTTGGAGTGAGTCGTTTAAAAACTCAGAAAAGAGTAGAGAGTTGGAGTATTTGGTATTTGAGATAATTTGAGATATCCTCCAGTTTGCAAATTTTTTACTCTAAAATTTCAATGTTATTACTACACATGAGTCATTTTAGTTCATAGAGATTCATAAACTGTTTGTACATATGCTGTTCCTGGCCACAAGGAGCTCAGAATTGGTGGGGAGGATGGACTCTGTCTGTGCTTTGGCTGACCCAGTGCCTCTGTGAAGGTCACACAGAAGCCTCGGGCTCCCAGGACACAGCTGTAGGTCAGTAAGGTTGAGGGGATCCAGGAGTAGTTTCTCAAAGGAGTTGATACGTGAATCTCAGTGGAAAGGTAAGCAAAGATGGCCTATCTGGGACCTCAGCATTGAAAAAGAGAACAATGGTGCTCACATAGCTCAGCTTAATGGAATGTATAAGAACTTAAAGCATGATGACATTTTTTTTTTTTTACAAACTTTCCCCATCTTTGTGTACTGGTGTCTTCTTAAAGAATAGACTGTAGGTGGGTGTAGTAGTGCCTGGGCAATTTAGCAAGACCCTGTCTCAAAGTAAAATTAAAAAAGGACTAGGGATATGGCTCAGTGATAGAGCATCCCTGGGTTCAATCCTCGCTACTGCAAAAGCAAAAGCGAAAAAGAATGGATTGTAGTTACAGGTTTTCACTGATTTTTCCCAATTTGATTTTATTTAATTGTGTTCTAGTTTGTTCATTGATGACACTTGTCATTCTGTGATCCTGAGAGGTGAAATTAATGCTTTTATGAAAATTTGGACATGGTGAATGTCCTAACAACACCCATTCCCAGCCCCCTGCATTGCAGGCAGTGAAACTCAGTAAAAGCTCAGAGGTGTCAGTCATACATGGTGCTCTGGTGTTGGTCAGACCTCAACTGGTCAGGATTCTAAAAATATATATGATTTTTTTTTAATGAACACCAATTCTGTGAATGTACCTGAAACAGGCTTTATTTTTCCTTCATTTTGCTTATGAAGACACTAAACTGTGAAGAAATCATGCATTCATTCAGGTTAAATGATTAAAATTGCTGGTTGGAACCAGAAGCAAACTTTCCCTTAGAAACAGTACTATAGATGGTAGAGTCTGGGACTCGCCTATAAGAAGCCTTAACTCAGTGTATGGAATCCATTTACCCTTTTAAACATCCAGGAAAATTGTGTTTCTGAAACCTGAAACTGATCACACTTTTCAGTGTGTTAGAACAGTGACTTTTGCTTTGATGTAGCTTGTTGGTAGCTTGGTCAGATGTAGGAGGAGCAGCCACTTGAATTGGTTTTGGTGGGCGGTGGGTGGGGGCTGTGGGAAAGGCTGCAGGGAGAAAAAGGATGCTGAGTAAAACAAGAGGCAGAGCCAGCAGGATCCATGAACATGTTCACTTCTTTCAGCTTCTTCCCCTCCTAACCTATTTATGGCTCTGGACTTCCTGCTGATGTAAGACCCTGGGACCTTGCTTGGCTTAAGGCCAGCTGCCTCCCTCTGGGTGGGCCCTGGATTCGATAGGCTGAAGGTTTCCCCTTTCCCTGCCACCAGCCTTCTCACTTGCCTGGGTCTTCCTCTGAGCCTGGCTCACTGCAGATTGCAATCTTTTGCTCAGCCTTTTACCCTGTAGCAATAGTGAGGAACCGGAAGGAAGCACATGCTAGTTGAAATTTTCAGAACTTAGCTTTTCTATTTTCATCCATATTGTGTTTTCACTTTACATAAGCTTGTGAAGAGGGTGGCCCGTTTTTGCCATTTTGCCAGAGAGCCATCTGATCTTTGTGGGCTTTGGTTCCTCTCGCTTCCAGCACAGCTCCTTAGGTCTTCCATTTTTATTTGGCAAAATAAAAC